AGAGCGGCGACTAGGGAGAGCTGTACTTAAGGAGGATGTAGTTTGTCATAAATGTTACCAATCCTTTTCTCGCAAACGAACAGTTGTTGGTGCCTCAAATACATGTACTCTAATATGCAGTGATCCAGAATACTTCCCACCTCTGCCCACGTGTAACTCAGGTTCAAATCCTTCATTAAAAAGTCCAAAATCAATATGCCTTCCCATAACATCAACGCCAAAAGGTCACAGAAAATGTGTCATTTGCAGAAAGCCATACTCTAACAGAAACCGCCTTATAAATATCCCAGCGTCCTCCATTGTACAAGCTTTTGTTGAAACGGGAATCTTCATCAATGATGACAGCAGATGTTGCAAGATGCATGTTGAAGATGGCTACCTAAATAAAGATGCACTCTCAGGACTAACGACAACAAAAGATGAAGAACAACTATCAAGAACTGACATATGCAAGCTTTTATCTAGCCTTAGAAGTACCATCAAATCTGCAACTTACCTCAACTTTGATGTACCATCTCTTCTGAGTGAAGAAGACTATTTGTGTCTCACTGGCTTGAGAAAAGAGCAATTTGCAGAACTTGTTCATGAATTAAAGAATATAAGGAACAATTCCAGCCGTACCAAGAGAACTTGTCTTGCTGTATTCCTGACAAAACTCCGCACTGGCCTTCCCAACACAATACTTTCCACAATCTTCAAGCTTTCTGTATATCAGATTCAAAGAATAATTCCATCAGTAAGAGAGGCTCTCATGCAGAATTTTGTGCCAAAACATCTTGGATTCCAACATATAAGTCATCAGGAATTCTCTCAGCATCATACAACTCCAATTGCCCGAAAGCTTTTCACCACTGAGGAAGATCAAGCTGTTATCATCTTGGATGGTACATATATATACATCCAAAAGAGCTATGACTACGAATTTCAGCGCCTTTCATACAGTCTCCATAAAAACCGTCCTTTAGTGAAACCTATGATGGTTGTGGCCTCTGATGGGTACATTTTAAGTGTTATGGGACCATATGTGGCAGATTGTCACAACAATGATGCCAGCATAACAAAGCATATGTATTCTCAAAATGCAGAAAACATTCAAGGTATGTTTACTGTTACAGATTTGAAATACAAGTATGTCTTTTCAATAGACCCAAGTTCGTGGAAGTCAAGATATAATAAAAGTAATAACATTGATATTTTTTTTTGCTCCAGTATGGTTGAAAGAAGATGATGTGGTCGTAGTTGACAGAGGGTTCAGGGATGCAGTGACCTTTATGGAAGATATTGGATTGAAAGTCCACATGCCATTCTATCTGCAAAGGGGAGAAAAGCAACATACAACTACGGAAGCCAACCTCTCAAGAATGGTCACTAAAGTAAGATGGGTAGTTGAGAGTGCTAATGGCAGACTTAAACAGTGGAGACTACTGGACAAAGTTATTCCTAACAAGCTACTTCCACAGGTTGGGGATTTTGTTAGAATCGTATGTGCACTATGTAACTGTTTCAGGCCTTGTCTTGGTAGCATGGACCCTGAGACTGAAAGTGTTGCCATCAAAATGCTAGAAAGGTCACAGAAATCCAATGAAGTCCAGGTTCTTGTTCAAGAAAATAAGCTGTTGACTCGCCGTGCTGTATATTCAGCTATCGATGCATCCTCTGAACTTGCTGATTTCCCTGTCCTTTCACTCGATGACCTACGCTCCCTGACATTAGGTATTTATCAAGTCAAACATGCAGAGAATTACACACGAGAACATTTAAAAGATGAAGGCAGCTATGAAGTTATGGTATGCCATGATTTTCCAAATCTTTTGAGAGTTAAGATTCAGTCTCGCCATTCTAGAAATGTTCTTCACACACTTTGGATAAAATATAGAGGTAGAGAGGAGAGTGTAGAGGCCATTTGTGGTTGGTACTGTACATGCAAAATTGGAGCAAGACTGGTTGGTTGCTGTGCCCATGTGTCCAGTGTACTGTGGTTCCTTGGATGGAAAAGGCATCAGAGTGAAGAACCACTGTCATCTGGACCTGGACCTAAATGTCACTTTCTGAATGCGGCATACCAAGAAGATTCAGATAGTGACATTGTGGAGGAGTGAATTTCAGGAATTAAGGTACTCCAATCCTCAGCCAGGACAGATAACTCTTAAATTCCTAATTTATATTAAAAAATCTCAAAATGATGCTTATGAAGGGAAAAAAATTTACGCCATGAAAGTACTTTAAAATTACATACATGTTTGTAAAGAAATTGAGGTTCATTTTAATCTTACCACAGAAACTACAGCTGCCTTAAATGTATAAACGTGATATTTATTCAAAAGCCTGGATGCCTATGATTTTCATTTCTAAAATGTGTTTGTTGATGATCAATTTTGAATAGAAAATGTATTGTAGTTTTTTTATTCGCATTTCTAGAACATTTAATTCAGATTTATTAATTTTTTATATATAATATGATTAACTTTAAGATACAGTTTGAAGAATTATTGTGGGTAAAAATATGTTACTTTAAGAATTCAGACACATTTTTGTAAGTTTGTTCAATTAGTCAATGCCTGATTTTCAGAATCTAAGGATCGGAGTACCTTAAGGATTAAATAGATCTTTCAAAGGAAATTCATCTCAAATGATATATGTATTACATTTTATGTTTGCTTCAGCAATCAGTGTAGATTTGATTGGATAGTTATATCTTTGATGGTTTTTTTTACATTTAATTTATATGAATTTGCCTTTGCTGGTATGTGTGTGTGTGTGTGTGTGTGTGTAGGAGTGACATGTCTACACTGTTGAAGACAATGGAATATTTTACATGATCATATATGCATTGCAAAATATGAACTATCTCTTACATTCTACTCATCTTATTTTCAAAGTAAGGCTACCTGTATGCATGTATATGTTTTAATTACCTCTTCCTCATTTTTTGAAACTGTTCTTTATTAGTCATAACCTTTTAAACCTAGAAATGATTTTAGGCAATGGCATGATTCAGTGTAAATGCTAGCCACAAAACAATTGCTTATCTTCATTTTTGATTCCATTTCCATAGCAACTGTAATGTATGTACTATTAATCTGAAGATTTAAAAAAGTCAGATTGTAAAATTGCTAATTTTTGTTTTTTGTTTTGTTTCCATGGCAACACCAGAAAATAGGATTATACCCTATTGACTTTTCCATAAATATGAAATATGAAGCCTTAAACTTGTGTTTCAGCAAAGACCATTGTTCCCTGTTAGACCATAAAAATGTGCGATAAGATTTCAAAATGATCAAATATTATTTTTTTTCCAAATTTGAGACTTGTTGCCAAGGTAACCATACATCCATAACATCCTAAAACCTGAAAATATTTTTTGAGGAAGCTTTTCTGATATACAAAGTTTGGATTGAATCTTTGTTGATGTGTGCCATAGGGATGCACTGTATGTAAAAGTGCAATATTTTTTATGTATAAAATGTGGCTCTTTAAAATATTTTAATGTCTGAAATAGTAAGTGGTTGCCATGGAATTATTAAGCGTTGCTAGGAAATATTTTGTTTTGCATTACCAGTGAAATAGAAGCTTAGATATAAATAGTACTTCAATTAACTTTAATGCTAATGAATATATGACATGTATTGACTTCTTCACTTCATACTCATATTGGTTGCTATAGTAAATAAACTGGTTGCTAAGATATGTTTGAGTGGTTGCTATGGTGTTTTCCCATCAAAATAAATTTGTTAATGCAATGTTTAGGAATTTTCAGTACATATGATCATTATAAAGCTAAAATGAAAATATTGTTGTTGGTTATTATTTCCCAAAACAGTTAAATATTAAATCCAAGAGCTTTCAACATTGCTTTTTCGTGGGTGGTTGCTAGGCAACGGGGGCATCAGAACAATAAAATAAAGTTATAATTGAAAAGGTAGACTCATGTTCATCTTCTATTATAAATATTGTTGAAATATGAAAGGGGGCAAATATTTGTAATATACCACACTTACTTCTTTCCTGTAGGGAACCTCAATTCACTGGACCTTTAAACCCGCCAGTCCGTGCAAGATAGTTTGGACACGGCAGTCCAGAGAGGAGGACGTCTTTACCCCTCTCACGTATAACCTTTTTCTGAATATCCAGCATTTATATTTTGTATGTACTGAGTAAAGCTTGCAGGGCTTTCTCTGGCACTCCATACTTCTTAAAAAGAAGGCTATGGTCCAGCTTTTCTGAGGTAAGGTCGTTTACATTTTTATTTTAGTTATTTATAGTGTAAAGTATCATTCATTTGTCCTAAAACATCCAGTAACCGTATTTCTCATCATTTTTAGCATGTATGTTTAGTTTAATTTGATTTGTATATATCTCGTAACACGTATTTGACTATTTAAAAGTACGGTCTACAATTGCTGTCATAATAGTTTGTCCGTAATGTAGCAATTCGTAATATTGCATCTGTGTAGAAGTCGTACGTATAATTTTAACTTCTCAAGAGTGTATGTAATTGAATATTATCTAAGACGTGTTCATTATGATCGTATAATAAGTGTTAAGTGTATTTGTGTAAAGCCCCTAGAGCTTGTAAGTAAAAGTATGTGTATATGATGGAGCAGGTTCCAGCCATACGTCAAAGTTGGTGTACGACAGTGAGGTTGCCCAGTGTGCCCTTGGAGTGTAGTATATAGGACGCCACCCTTGGAACCTATAGTCCATCCTCCAGCCTGTGAGGGGGAAAGCAAGAGGCGCAACTGGTCACCAGGACAACAGCAGCAATCACAATGACTTTGTACATTTTTATCATGAATTATTAAATATGTAAATAGTAATACAGAAACAATAATTTGAGTTATATTTAAAATTTGTAGAAAGGTAAATCCGCTCGACTATCTGTGACAGCCTATAACAAACTTGAATCTACACTACTTGAGGATGGATTAAGAATAGATTAAGACAATGACGACAGACATTGGATAAATTTCGATCAGTAAAGCTCAATTGAGCGTTTTGCTCAGGTGAGCTAAAAAGGGGATGAAAATGATAATAGGTAACACTCCTTCTCAGTTTGGAATTTAAAACAAAGTTATTCATTTAATTTAAAAATCAAATCAAATCCGAATAGAAACTGTGAACTTTTGATTTGAACCTCAATATTATTGATTATTTTGAAATTAAAAAGGATAAATAGAAACATTTCTTCGAAAATGGAATTCTTCGAAGCAATGTTTTAGATGCTTTGCTAAATAAAATTCCCCTGGTATTTAAAGTCTCATTGCCGACTATTTTTAAATAAATCCTTTGGAAATTCTTTAAATGTTATATTTTAAGAAAGCTATAAATTGTATTTTTTAATAAGAGATAATTGCGAATTTCATAAAGGCTTAGTAGTATTACTTAATTTGATATCAAAAGGTGATAAGCAAAGAAAACATTTAAAGATCTTTATTAAATATGTTAAATTAACATATATATTGGTTCCTAAGTTATAGAAAAAGTCTGAATAAGAACCCTCATTTAGGTTATTCAATTTGATTTTATCACAGGTTCAATGTAGATAATACAATGTAGTTGAATATGCTATATTTATTTCTGATCTTTTCTTGTTAATGGAAATAATAAGAATCTCAAAGAGCAAAAGCACGGTCAACAATGTAACACATATATGAACAAATTAATTTTCAGAGAGGCTGTAGAAATGATTCGGTTGAACCTATAGGGAATCATTTGTGAAACATCGATGCCACCGTATGACAGCTTATGGCGAGAGCTGATTTCTTTTCAAATGCATGTCAAACTCATAAGGTCAAGGTCAAAAGGTCAAAATAGTTGGTACCCAAAGGAAGGTCTCATTACAAGGAATATCCCTATGAAATATAAAAGCCCTTATTCTAACTGTTCAAAAGTTACTGGCAAGATTAAAGCTTTTTAAAAGTTGGCCAAACTTGAAGGTTGAGGGCAAAAGTTAAAAAATATGTTTATAGTTTATACCAAATGAAGAGTCTTGTCACAATGAATACAAATGTGAAGTGTGAAAGCGCTAGCCCTAACTACAACTGTTCAAAGTTATGCTCTAGTTTAAAGAATAATTTTTGTAAAAGTGGGTCAAACCCCAAGGTCAAGAGGTCAAATTTGATGGTACCAAAAGAGAGGTCTTGTCACAAGGAAAATACCTGTGTAATATGAAAGCCTTAACTCCACCCAGTCAAAAGTTATGGTCAATGTTAAAGTTTATGCGGACATATATACTCAGAGATAGAGAGAGATACAGAAAACCAGATAAACAGACGGACAGGGCAAAATTATATACCACCGAAACTTAGTTTACTGGGGCATAAAAAGTCAGCAACAGATTGAGCAATTAACTTTATGATAATTGTACATCTGATGTGTATCTATGAGGAGTGCATATGATTGCATTTGATTTTATTTTGAATTGATTTCAGACTATTATTTTAATTTTTATCCTTTTATATTCAGTGAAAAAAATGAAATGAAAATTAAAAGTATACACGCTATAACTTGCACCAGTTTGAACAAGATTGGAGATTTATATATTTTGTTTATCAATAAAAGTTACGAATGTACTGTAAATTACAACATTAAAATTAAACGCGTTATAAAGTTAACAAATTATAATTATTTATATTCCTGCTAGGAGAGAAATACAATACATGTAGCTATTTTTAAATAAATCCATCACGTGACGCCGTCTCTACTTTTAGATTGATAAACAAGCATGACATGAAGAAAACAAGGTAGGCCGTTTGAGATACTACTCACTTTTGAAGTGGATGGCAAGCGTCTTACTCTTAATGATATCTTTATTTTAATGAAATCAGTATCAACGATCTACTCTGTTATGACGCATATTAACCTTTTACTATAATAATTGTTGTCAAAATATGCAACATGCCTCGTCTGTGATTTCCCGTGGACATGCGTGTCTATATATAGGTGTACTATTTACGCACTTCCTTTATCAATATTCATGAAAAGCCTGAATTCTTAATTGCCATATATTGCTTAATTGTTTTGTTATTACAACGACTTCTATAGTAAAATTTTGTAGAGAGTATTATTTTTCATTACACTTCATGTGTTTCAAATCATTTATCATTTTGTTTCACACAAAATTCGGGGTTCATATAGCGTGTAGGACTTTAAGTAGATATCTTTGCTAATTTGACGATGAAATCCTCCTAGTACC